AATGATATAAATAAAAACAGTATTCTTCCACCAAACAATGTAGTTCCTCAGAATCAGTTGTGGTTGCACCAAAGTGGCTGCCAAGCAACAGACAAACGTAAACAAAGGTGTATGTTTGTAGAGTAATTTACAACAGCTTCGAACGTTTTTTTTTTATTGTAACATATTTAACAATATTTCTGTTTTTACTCTGTTTTTGAATCTATACTCTATTAAATAAATTCAGCCTCGGTGAGCATAAGAGACTTTATTCCAAAGAAAAAAAAATCTCTCTGAAATGACTTCCCTTTTTGATTGACATCACCAAACTCTTATTTTTCAGCCCCTCCCCTCCAACCATGTCATATAGTCATACTTTTCACTATCCAATCAATTCCAAGTGGATAAAAACATTCATTTTTCTCATTAGATATTCTTCACCCTGAAATATTTCACATTATGGAAGTGATTAAAAGATGAAAATGATTAGAAATGTACTTACCAATCAATTCTGGCTTGTATGGAAGTCCAGCTTCAGTTTTCTTAGCTTTGTCTTTATCTAAATGACAAAAAACAAACATGGATTGGCTTTGGTAGACAAACTATCTTTCAAAATCTCATGTAAAATCCTGGGACTGTTTGGCTTGATGCATTATCTGCAGTGCCGTGACTGTGACAGGATCTGACCTGGGCATCTCCCTAAATGTTTCACATCAATCTGTTCCTGCTTCATACAGGATGCCTCTCGCACCAGGCAGGGGTTATGGTAGGAGTTTCCATCTGTGCCGCACACTGGATTCTCATTGTGCCCACTGCAGTCGATTTTACACGAACAGCTGCAACATTAAAAAAGAACAGCACACAAATTTAAATGCTGCGAGTCTCAATTGTGCTATGAATTATTCAAAGGACAAACATTTTGCTGGTACAGCATAAATGTTTTTGATAAAGCTTCAGTATGGAAGCTTGTTTTAAACACAGCATAACAAATTTTAAAAAGGTAATCGCGACTTTTTATCTCACAATTTTGGCTTTTGTTTGTATCTCACAATTTTGTGATTTAAACTTACAATTCTGAGAAGAAAAGTCACGATTACCTTTTGTATGTTTCAAAACTGGGAGATCTAAACTCAAAATTCAGAGAAAAAGGTAAAAGTTGCGAGATGTTAACTTGGGATTATGAGAAATTTGGTCAGAATTCTGAGTTTATATTTTGCAATTCTGACTTTTTTTTCCTTTATTTTGATATAAAAAAGTCACAATTACTTTTTTTATTTTTTATTCTGTGGCAGAAATGGGCTTTCATAAATCAAGGATATTATCGCTAACTAAAACTAAAATGCTAAAAAATGAATTACTTGAAATAAAATAAACATGAAGTTAATTGAAAAAATTTACTTATTTGAGGTAGTTGTCAAGGCAACATTTCTCATTTTCATTTAATTTCACTTAGTTGAAGTACTAAAATAACAAAAGCTAAAACATAACAAAAAAACACAGACATTAAAAAAACTAAAACTAATCAAATATTAGTACTATAAAAAATTAAAATGAAAACAGAAAATATAAAAATAAAATCAAATTCAAAATATTAGCAAAAACTATAATAGCATATCAGTGATACTAAAATAACACCTGGTAAATTTGGTCACTAATAAGATCGGCTGTAAATCTGGCCATACATCAACTGTCCCTGTTAGACCTGTCCTGTGTGATTGTCTCCCCCTGCTGGCTGATGTAACGGAACTCTAATTAGCTGTGAGTGTTTTGAGAGCTGATGTAGGATTCTTTTTCCCTGAGCTCCTGAATCTCATGTCCATACTGTTCATTAGTGCTTGGCAAGAAAATGCGAAAGTAACATGAACCAGGCAGAAAAACTTTTGATACAAAATAGTTTCGCAACGCTTCCCCGTCTCATGGGAGAAATGTTATTTTCTCAGCTTTGCTAGAACTGAATTCTTTCCAGCATTCATGCTTTTATATTATATACACTGGCAGTTGTTTCCAATGTTGAAAAAATAAATTCATTCAAACATACATTCATTACTTTTAAAAGCTGGCATGAAATAGCACAGGACTCATTAATGAACAACTCCTGGATACTCATAAATCTGGCCAGACAACATAAGCAGAAATCATAAAGGAATTAATGCAGCACGTACGAGTCCTCATCCTCTGCGTCTTCATCACATTCAGCACCGTACTTGCAGTTGCTGCATTTTGTGACTTTCTTGCCCGAATCTGTGCCTGATCCCTCATATTCTGTGAGACAGTGATAACACAAGTTCAATGAAGGCTATAATTAAATATGAATATAATTCAATTAAAGCTAAAAACAACAACGTTTTATTCAAGCATTATCATTAGCACTGAGGGACACTGAATTTCTGTTGCTGCCTTATTTACATGATATATTTTTAATGTACTTTTTTTTTCAACTGTTTTCCTCTTATTTGTCCTTCACAGTTGTCCATTTGATTATAAATTATCAAATTTGGCTGATTTTTAAATTAAAGGCACTTTGAAATTGAAATATGAAACAAAAACTTATAGAAACTTTTAGATAATAAAAACATTTAGAAATTGGCATGATGTTTCCCAGACGACAAAACAAGTTAAATTTACGCTGATCTTCAAATTCAAAACGTTTTCACCTCCAGGCTCTTAATGCATCATTTTTCCTTCAGGAGCATCAGTGAGCGTTTGAACCTTTTGTAATAGTTGCGTATGAGTCCCTCAGTTGTCCTCAGTGTGAAAAGATGGATCTCAAAAGGGTTCAGATATGCAGAAGATGCTGGAAAACCGAAGAATTTGTGGGACCTGAAGGATTTTTCTGAAGAACAGCAGGCAGTTTAACTGTTTTGGACAAACAAGGGACTCATGTAAAATTAAAGACCGAAGGGAACAAGCCCCAAAAAATGGCACTTAAAAAATGATAAATGAGACAAAAAAAGTTAAGAACTATTATAATCTATCATTTAAAGACTTTTTTTTATTAATGATGAATTTTATTTATTTATTATGATTAAAATACTCAGTGGCATAACAGATTTCAGAAGTGGCCACTGAGCGAGTACATACTCAGCAGCACTTGAGTTGTGTTCCTGCAGTGGTCTGTAATTTGCTGTAATGACAGCTCTAGAGCGGCCCGTACGCACAAGCCTTCATCGTTAAAACCCGCTCCAGGGGAGGTTCAAACCCAGCGCAGCGCGGGGTCACTCTTTTATCACAGAACTGCCAACTTCAGCATGATGGGGCTAAAAATAACCTCCGATGGCATGTTTTGGCTGATCTACAGCGTTCCTGAGTGATGGGAGGTGACCCGTTTCTGGGATAATTTGAAGTCTGTAGGTCAAAATCCCAGAAATGACCACGTTTCAATTTCCTTGATGTTACCGTTGCTGCTTTATGGTCCGAAAAAAAAAATAGTAGGAAAAGAAAACAAACCTCCATCTCCAGATCCTGAGCTGCTATCTGGAACAAGAAACAAGTAGGACTAATTATAACTTTCCATTTATAAATATATCAATATATGTCAAGAGTTCATACAGTGATAGCAGCACCACAGTAGTGCATAGTCTTTGTATTATGTATCAGTAACATGCATATCAAATTATTATGAGCCATGGCATGTAATTTGTGGATGAAAAGTAATCATGAGATTAATTAGAGCTAAAAATAAAGGTTGTCATGTATCAGATCACACTGCTCATTAGAGTCTGTAATATAAAGCTTCTGCTTATACACAGGATGTTAAAATAGCATTTCTGGGCCTCAGAAAAATCGATCTAATTTGTAAAAGTGGCTCATCTTTATGGCTCTTGATGCCAATTTTGTCACCAGTGGCCTGTTAGAGGCCTATCAAAAATGTAGTCTAAATAAAATCATATGAAATTAACTTTTATGCGAATAAATATCTTGATAATGTACATCATTCATATACAAATAAATATATAAAAATGTATTTTATTTAATGTACAAAATGTAATAATGTTCCAACATTATGGAAAATGTCACTGAAAATGACAGAAAAGCCCCTGAAATTCATAATGTTGGGTCAAAAAATGCCTGTATATATATATATATATATATATATATAGCCAACTTTTAACTATTAATGTTTTATTTTTGTTTTATTTTTGAACTTAATTCACACCAGCCACCCCAAAAAAATCCCCATCACAGACCAATGCTGATTGTTGCAGCATCTTAAAAAAACGCTTGAAACTTGTTCTAATAAAACGAGCACAGTCAGTGTAACATGAACTTAGGCAGAAGATGTTAGGTTTTCATTTCAGGAAGTGAATCAGAATCAGAATCAGAAGAGCTTTATTACCAAGTATGTTTACACACACAAGGAATTTGACTTGACGACAGGAGCTTCCAGTGTAGAAGAAAGTACAAACATAATGCAGACATACATGATAGTGCAGACATACATAGGAATAACACAGTAGGGATGTAATATAACACTAATATA